ATTATAAAATTAAAATATTAGCATTTAATTAATAATAATTATAATATAAAATAAACTAGTTACTTTATAAAATTAATATATTAGCATTTAAAAACATATATGTAAAAATAATACATATGTATAAAAACATATATATAAATTAATATAAATGAATATATATAATTATCGTATTGTATAAATTAAAAAAAAAATTACTAATTATTACTTTAAATTGTTCATTTAGGGTATTTGTATACCTGAACAAGCTGACCGTGAGGACCCGGCCGACAATATTATGCATGGTTCTGGAAACCGACACGTTATAAGTCGGGGTATAACTGCGTCCGGTCGCCGCACTCGGGAGGACGCGATCAAAGAGGCTCGGATGTTACAAACTGGTCAGGTTGGCCAGTCCGACAGTTCGAGACTTCACGCACCAGCCGTACCGGTTGGTCAGCAAGGGTATGGCCAGGCAGGCAGTTCTAGAATCCCCGTCCCCGGACCATTACTGTACGATCATGATCAGCATAGATATTATTATGCTGGCCAGGCAGGCAGTTCGATACCTCGTGCACCAGCACCGCACGGTCAGCAGGTATATTATGCTGATGAGTCGGTAGCCCAGACGGAGCAGTCTTCTGACGAGTCCGCATCATATGACGATGCGTACGATCCTGGACTCCCACCGCATCATACACCTCTTGCTCAGCATACACCTCCTACACATCATGCGTCTCCTGCACAGCCTGCGGCTCCTGCACAGGCTACGGCTCCTGTTCGGCCTGCTATTCTACGACAGGATGGTGGGCGTTTTGCTAGCACTGGATCCTCAGGTAAATAATTTAAGTATTTTTATTTCGTTTGACATTAATATTTCGACTTAATCGCAACAAAAATTGCCGATTTGGCTGCAACTTTGTCACACGACTCGTGTGACAGTGAGACACGGGTCGTGTGAGTCTCACACGACCCGTGTCATTTAACACACGAGTCGTGTGATTCATGAGAAAATTGTCGTGTTAACTACGGCCTTCTCACACGACCCGTGTGACTGTTAGACACGGGTCGTGTGACATCACACGACCCGTGTCACTCGGCACACGAGTCGTGTGATTCATGAGAAAATTGCGGTTTCAACTACGGCCTTCTCACACGACCCGTGTCACACAGTCACACGAGTCGTGTGGACCCACACGACTCGTGTCACACACTCACACGGGTCGTGTGAGTCTCACACGTCCCGTGTCATGCTGTCGTGTGATGGGTCGTGTGGACCTGAGAGTATGTTGAAAATTGAATTCGTGTGCCTAGTCGACATTATTTCAATTATGTTATATATTTGCCTTTTCTATTCTAATGTAGGTACTAGCGAACGATCTAGGACTGATGATGGGGAAGACTGGATCGTTAGAGGTCCAGTTCCCAGTGGGCCCATGGATGAGAGTGTGATCCCTAGTTTTCTAGGGCACGTAGCCTCCCGAATGTGGAATGGACAGATGCGAGACTTACTGAAATGCCAGAACAGACAGCGAGCTGTAGAAAATCTGAAAGCTTGGCGAGGTGAAATGTCTGCCGAGGCACTTGATCTGATTAGACAGACCGGACTGTCACATCTGGTAGACTCCATGCACGCCCACTTGGACACTCCACTGATTACTGCATTTGTGGAGCGATGGCAGCCTGATACTAACTCGTTTCACCTGCCTTTTGGTGAGATGAGCATTATGTTGCACGATGTCCGGGCCATTTTGGACATTCCTGTTGAGGGAGGTGTGGTCGTTGAGGACCCGGGTTCAGAGGCATGCCAGGCTTACTGCATGGAGATACTTTCGGTCACGAAGCCTAACCTAATTGCGTCCTTGTGGCAGCGTGGTTCGGTGGCCGAAGCCTCTGTTGGGGAGATTTTTAGAGGTAAAAATAAGTTGGCTTCAGATGAGGCTGGTGCCAGGATTTGGGTGCTGCTGGCTACCACGTTGTTCGTAGACAAGAGTGGTAGTAGAGTGAGTCCGAAGCTCCTACATGAGGTGCTCGACGGCTTGGATGCCATTGGAGGTTA